GATGGATTCTATTTACTAATTATGTGACTTCTGAAGGCAATTGATTCCACTAGATTTTAGTTATTGGTATCAGAGTAAAGGGGGCTGAATACAAATGCACACCACACTTTTCAGATATTTATTTGTCAAACATTTTGAAACCCATTTATCATTTTCATCCACTTCACAATTATGTGCCACTTTGAGTTGGTCCATCACATAAAATTCCAATAAGATACATTTAGGTTTTTGGTTGTAACATGACAATGTGAAATGATTACTTTTTCGCGCGGGCGTGTGTCACATTTTTGTGACAAGTCAGAACTAAACCTTTTTAGAATGTGAAATATTGTACATGGATATTTCATACATGTATTCTGAATCCGTGGATGGAGCTGTAGGTAGCTTTTTACATGGCTGCATATGGTGGGGATGATTTAGTAAGCATAGGCGCTGCTCATTTTGAAAGGACCACAGCTTCCTTTCATATTTTGTAAGCTCAGTGAACATTTCAACCAGTTGTGCGCTGCCAAAAATAGTGTAAGTAACAGAAAATCTGAAAAAAACAGCCTCTTCTTTCACTAATTGAACTTTTACAAATTGAAATGAATGAGTCTCCTTGAACTAAGTTTTTAGGGGTCGTTCACACCAAACAGCCACACAACACTGAACACACTGCACATCGGCACTGTGTGCTTGCAGTAACCGTTCTGATGAACCAGTCTTGCACACTGCATGGTTCTATCTATATTTTATATATTTATAATTTTTTTTTGTTTTGTGTGTGAACTTTATTGAAATGTCAGTGACATTTCAAAGTTCTATTTATAAAGCGGCGTTGCAATGCAGTGGTTTGCAACTGCATTCCTATTTTCAGAACACACCGCTACACTAGGACTTGATGTGCAAGGCAGTCAAGAGCAGTCCTAACATACCTAGTGTGCACAAACCGTATGTAATATGGCGAGCATCTGCTGAGCTCTTTTGTTCTGCGATTCCTGAGTATTGGCTGCACTCTGTGTTTAAATGGGTTTTTTTTTTTTTTTAGTAAAATAGATTTTTATTTCACTAATATTTTTGTATAAAATCCTTATTTGAACATGCTTACAGTTTAACCTATTGTTTCTAGCTCTGGCACATATTATACATTGCCACTGTTTGCCTACTAGTACTGTATGCTAATGCAGGCCATAGATGGGTTGAAAATCGGCCGATTTTTCGGCCGAAAATAAAATCGGCCGATTTTTTCGGATCATTAGTGGGTTAATTGTTCAGCCGTTTTTTTCGGTATTTTGGCAGATTTTTTTTTTATTGGTAAAGTTGGAAAAAGATCGGCCGATTTTCGCGGCAATTATGGGCAAATCGGCCGATCTTTTTACCGGTTAAAAAAATCTGCGCATGAGCAGTGACCTGCAAGAAGAAGAGCAGGATGAAGAAGAGGAGGATGAAGAAGAGGATGAAGAAGAATTCCAGTCCGGCAAAAAGTGCCCCTGCAGAGAGCTCCGCTACTTCTTTGACAGTTCTTTGACATTTATAGCGGTTGCAACAATGTATCTATTTGTTTCCGAATAAAAACATCTGTATCCGAAATGGATACAAATAGATACATTGTTGCAACCGCTATAAATGTCAAAGAACTGTCAAAGAAATAGCGGAGCTCTCTGCAGGGACACTTTTTCTGCCAGCTGTATACCGTTCCTGGTAATGTCGGCCGCTTGAACGACCGATTTTTTTTTTTTTTTTTTTTTTCTTCTTTTTTTAATTTTTTTTAAAGAAAAATCGGCCGGTTTTCTCCCCATCTATGGCTTGTATAAGACTTTATACAAATATTTTGATAATGCCTCATGATCATTGGAAATCTGTATAGCATCTTGCACTACTTTTGCATTCCATTTTGCATTTTATTAGTATGCCATTTCATTAGTATGCCATATAAATAATGGGGTGTCCATTTTTGCAGTTCAGTTATACGTGTATTCTCATAATTTTTTTTTTTTTTTTTTCTTCTTATAGGTCTTCTTTGATTAAAGAGAAATTGCAGACATGGCTGTTGATGACTACAAAGAGCTACTGAAGCATTATGAATTACATGAAACAATTGGGACAGGTACCTTTTTTTTTATAATAACTTTAAACATATGTGTATATAGTATTTGTGGTTTTAGGCATACCATAGAAATTTATTATGAACGAAGTTAAATAATAGCCATGGGTTTGTAGCTATATTGGAGGTGTCGCATCACTTTGACTGTGTGTTCTGCCCCCTTAAAGGAGAGAGGGTATCTTCCGTTCTATTTTCTTTTTTCAGATAGAGATATGTTTGAGTAATAGTTAAGCCATTCCGCTTATGGTGCCTATTTAACAATCCATACTGTTGGTGCTCATCCAAAAGAATTGCACCGGTTTTCCCAAGGCTGTTACAAAGTTATGACATTTTGGAGTGGAATTTTTGCAAATATGGCTTTCCTCAGATGTTTTTTTTTTTTTTAAGTGGACTTGGCTAAGCACAATAAGTTAAAGTGGTTATAAAGCCTGGGTATTATCTACCTCAATTCATCCCTGTCATCCCAAAACACTTACCTGAGCTTGTTGGTGATCCAGCACTGTCCTAGCTTCAGTTCTTCTCTCCCCTCTTCCTGCTCTCCCAGGGACTTGGGGAGCAGTGGGAACCATTGGCTTCTGCTGCTGTTAGTCAAATCCTGTGCTCGGTGGGGGGGGATGAACTGCACTGTGTGTGTCAATACACACCCACAGCGTGGCTCAGGAGCAAGCCCACAGATGTACACCCATGGCTGTACCCAAGTGGCTAGCTTATGGGGGCACACAGAAGAAGAGGAGCCTGGAGCCCCTGGCGGGGCACCCGAGAAGTGGAGTTTTGGGGCCATTTTGTGCAAAACCACTAGAGCAGGTAAGATTGAATTTTATCACAAGTGTAATAAAAGCGCCACACCCTTAATACTTTAAAGCAGCAATTCCACCTCAAAGAAACCAAATAAATTTCTTAGTGCTATAACTTAAATAAAGGAATGCGCTAAAACCACAAACTATTCCTAATTTAGTGTAGAAACATTAGTGCAAAAGAGATATATATATATATATATATATATATATATATATATATATATATATATCTATATATATATATATCCTCAATATAATAATAGTTTGTGGTTTTAGCCCATTCCTTTATTTAAGATTGAATTTTCAATTAATAAAAATTATAGATTTTACAACCATATTAATCTATAGGCACAGTGGCTAAATGGTTATCACTTCCGCCTGGCAGCACTAGGGTCATTGGTTTGAATCCCAACCACGGCACCACCTGCCTGGAGTTTGCATGTTCTCCCTGTGCCTGCGTGGGTTTTCTCCAGGTACTCCGGTTTCCTCCCACACATCAGGACATGCTGGTAGGTGAATTGGATCCTGTCTAAATTGGCCCTAGTATGTGTATGTATGAATGTAAGTTAGGGACTTTAGATTGTACACCCCTTGAGGGTTGGAACTGATGTGAATGTACAATATATATGTAAAGCGCTGCATAAATTGACTGCGCTATATAAGTACCTGAAATAAATAAAATAGGCAAAACTGAATTAAACTGCATAGATGATGCAGTCTGTTAACAGCATTAACGCAGCAGTCTTTGAAGCATGCTTTTTTAGGCAGCCCATTCAAAATTAATGGAGTGATTACACTGTTCTGCAGTGAAATTGCACAGCAGTGTAGTCATCCTCTGAACAGGGTAGTCTTAGGTTTGGGGTCTTTGAGAGATACAAAATACAGCCCAACTCCAATAAACAATTGCAGTAACTGTTTTTTACTAAAAAAAAACCAAAAAACTGTAAATGATATGAATAAGGCTGCATTCACACATGGTGCAGTGCCAGGCGTTTTTACAGCACTGAAAATAGGAGGATATGCAGAAAACAATTGTTTTCTGCGTGTTCCATTCACACGGCAATGCAACCCAGAGCTGCACTGCAGCATGCTGTGAAAAAATGCTGCGATTCATTACAGCACACTGTACAGAACTGCATGGCACTGTACAACAGCACAGCGTGCTGCTGTACACAATGACATGAATGATGTGTACTTTTGTGTAATAGATTAAATTGACCTGTGCGTGGTCCTACAGTTATTTAAAATTATATATAAGACAATAGATAAACAATCTGCTGCCGCTATGTCCTCATATGATCACACCACATATTCTGTATAAATATCAATATTGCCAACAGGACAGTGCTGCAAATGACACAATGTATAATACTCTAGAAACCCGGGGCAGATGCTAAAATCTTGCAAATCCTCTATGTATATTAGGGTTCTCACATAGAATACAATTCTCATAAAAATATGTTTAATAATGAAATAAGCTGAAAGTCTTTGTCGGCTTGTATAGAGAGAATCCCTTCCATCTCAAGGTAACATTAAATGGAATCACCACTAGTGGTGAAGCATCTCCTCCAGCCTCTCACCTGATGGATAGACCTACTAAATTTTGGTCTAATTGCACCTTTAACCCTATTATCCCTGTGTTGTGGGAGTATCCTTCACCTTTTGAGTCCTCCGAATTTCCAATCTAAGCGGATCATTGGTTTATATAAAGAGAAATGTTGACATAGTGTGTACCCATATTTATAATGTATTTAACCACTTGCCTACAGGGCACTTATACCCCCTTCCTGTCCAGGCCAATTTTCAGCTTTCATCACTGTCACACTTTCAATGAAAATTGCGCAGTCATACAACACTGTACCCATATGAATTTTTTATCATTTTTTTGAGACAGAACTTTCTTTTGGTGGTATTTAATCACCTCTGGGTTTTTTATTTTTTGCTTAACAAACCAAAAACCACTGAAAATTTTGGAAAAAAAACTTTTTTTTTCCCTTACTTTTTGTTATAAAATTTTGTAAATAAGTGATTTTTCTCTTTCACTGATGTGCACTAATGAGGCTGCAGTGATGGGCACTAATGGTCACTGATAGGTGGCACTGATGAGCACTGGTAGGTGGCACTGATGGGCATTGACAGGCATCACTGATGGGCACTGAAAGGCAGCACTCATATATGGCACTGTTAGGCGGCACTGACTGGCATTGATAGGTGGCACTAATAGGTGACACCGAAAGGCAGCTCAGATGGGCACTGATATATGGCATTGATGTGCACTGGTAGGCACTGATATGTGGCACTGATTAGCACTGACAGCTGGCATTGATGGACACTGACAGGTGGCACTTCTGGGGCTACACTGATCATCAAGGCACACTGATCATCAGTGCCCTGATGATCAGTGCACATGTCCCCTCTGAGGAATGCCGATTACTGGCTCTCCTCTCCTCCGAGATGTCAGCGTGACAGCTCGTGAGGAGAGAAATGCCGATAACCGGCATTTCCCTGTTTACATGCGATCAGCTGTGATTGAACACAGCTGATCACATGACCGAGCCAACATCTTCGGCTCTTACCGTTGATCGGTGATATGCTGTGTCCCGCGCTCCCGAAGCTGTGCATGCGTGGTTAGAATGGGAGGAAGTCATATGATGTCCTCCCAGAACGAGAGACCCGCCTTGCGCCTGTCATTACCTTATATGGCGGGGCGGAAGGCGGTTAAAATAAGTTAAAAACAACACTCACAAGTAAACTGCACTTTCCTGCTGCACTACAGATAACAGCGGTATCAGAACTAGTCCTTATGACTGCCGCGACTGGTGAAAACTCCATGAGCAGGGTCAAAAGCCTCCCTCCCTTCCTATCCCCTGGTAGTGTGATCCATGTAATCCCGTCAGTGGTATAGTGGTGTACCGGTATGTTGTGTCACTCCACATAGACCACCCTTACATGTTACATTTACGTGGCTTCGTCAGAGGGTGCATGGGGCAGTGACAGATTACGTTTCATAGATGTAAAGGTGAGCAATCATCACGGCAACTTCCTGCATGTGTAAGCCGTGTACCGGGGTGGGCTCCCCAGGATACAGTGAAGTCACAACCTAGGAAAGCAACCCCAACACCAGCTTTTGCCACAACAAAATTTTACTTAGATGTAGCAAGTAAACAAAACCCCAAATGCTGGAAACATACAATAAATTTACATACACCCAGCCCAAAGGCTGAGACCCTTGTGCTGCACAGCATGGCGCCTTCTGATGGATGAAGGTAGAAACTGATTTACCTACTGGCGGGCACAACTAAGCTGCCAGACCTTACCCATTATTACCCTAAAAGAGCAAGAATCGGTGTATGGGTGTATAGTATGGGCTAGCCTGCGGTGCAGCACAACAACTTACAATCTTACACAAATCTACAGTATTCCCCCTCCCATAACTGGTCCTGTAGCACGTGCCTGATTATTCCTTCTGAGCAAAACGCCAGTCTGACTTGAGTTTGTAGGATTTTATCAGTTCTCCAATGTGAAATGTCACTTTAGGTGGTGGAGTCCTTCCAATAATCAGTAACAACACTTGTGACCTGACACAAACAGAGACCCTAACTAACAGCCTGGACTCAGTCTCTGGGCGCCAACACTGAAATGAGGTGTGTGCACGATCTTACCGACCCGGGTCTGCTTTGCATCCGCTGGTGACTCTGAACAGAACAAATGTTGCTTAGTTCCTCTGCTCTCATCAGCCTTCCTGGCAGCAATCTCTGGTTAGTGAGGGACACTTTCACACCTGGACGTCATCGGATTCTCAGCTCACACGGCCATTGCATTCAGCATCGTCCAAAACATGGCTCCTGCATTCTCCTCTTCTTCCTGTTCACTAAAAACCCCAACTCTGTGTGAAAACCCCACCTCTTCATGAATATACAAATATCTATGCAGTCTGAGCCTATGTTAGAAAAACAGGGACATCTTGTGGCTAAACCGCAGAATGTTAGTCAAAACATCAATTTACTCCACACCATAATTTACTGCATACACAGTGTTCAAACAATGAGAGCGGATTTCCCCATCTCACATGCCACCCCACTAGAGGTTGTTGTCCTCTGCAACCCTCCCCATACAAACTCATTCTGGGCATAACGCTGTGGGGGCACACCAGCATTGGGCCTTGTTGACCTTCGTAGAGTGACAGGCTCAAGACGTCAGGCACATTTAATGGGAGAGGAGCTGCCGACCGCTCAACACTTTTTCCCTTGGTGGCAAACTTGCTATGGTTGGAGCCTCTGTGGGTACCGGGGCAGGGACAACCCACCATTCCTCCCCCTCCTCCTGCTCAGAAGGAGCTATCCCCTCCACGCACACTGGTTCATCAAAATTACAATGCCTCAACATGTTACGGTGCAAGTTTCGTGAGGGCCCCCCAGTCCCTATTGGCTCTACCTCATAGACCGGGATGTCAGGGTCTACCCTCCTCTTCACCGTGTATGGGACCGCCTCCCACCGCCTATCCAACTTTCCAGACGGCCACCTGGCTTTGACTATCACTGGATCACCCGGGGCATACCCCTCCTTCTGCACTGATCTTGGATTGGGGTATACCACTTGTCTAAGGCACTGTCAAAGAGCAAGGAGCCAGACACACAAGGAGGTGCAATTAAAGGTAGGTTTATTCTTATAAAAATAAGACAAGAGTCTATGCAAGTCCAACACCGGAAATCGAAGCCAAAGCTGGGGTCAAGAGCCAGGAAGAATCGTCGCCAGAGCCGGGATCAGGAGCCAGGAAGAATGGTTGCCAGAGCCGGGGTTAGAAGCCAGGAGGAGTCTTAGTCAAAGCCGAGTCAGTTTCCAGGAAAACAATGAGTAGCTAAACAGGAGCTTGCTGTGTGTAACAGACAGGACACAAATGCAATGGACAGCCACAAACAGCAGACTTGTATGTGATAAGCCGCCACCTCCTGGGGGAGGAGCCGCAGAGGGCTGAAAGCATAAAGGATCCCACAATGCTTTGCAGACACCTAAGATGGATGCCAGCACATGGAGCAGCACAAGGTCTGAGAAAAGGTAGGTCCTTGACAGGCGCTGCCCCACAACCTTGTGGATCGCTCTCAGGCAGCGGCGGTGCTCTTGCGCCCATGCGGTAGTATTTCTTGGTGGTGGCTCCATCGGATCGCGCATGTGAAGATCTTCAATCTCCCTTCCGGCTCTCCCAAACATGAGCATATGTGGAGAGTATCCGGTGGTACTGTGTACCCTGTTATTATAGGCCCACATCAGTTCAGGTAGGTATTCGGGCCACCAAGCTTTTTGGTGGTCCTCCAGAGTCTGCAGCATCTGGAGCAAGGTGCGGTTGAACCGCTCACACGCCCAGTTTCCCTGGGGGTGATACAGGATGGTGCAGGAACGTTCAATCCCATACAGTTGGTACAACTCATTCATTAGAGTACCCTGAAAACATGCCCCCTGGTCCGAATGTATTCTCTGTGGGCACCTGAACACCTGTATAAAGTGTTTGCAGACCGCTTCAGCGGCCGACTCTACCATCTGGTCTCTGGTGGGTACAGCCACCGCATACTTTGTAAAATGATCTGTCATGACTAGACAGTACGAGTGTCCCAAGGTAGAGTGCCCAATCTGTACATAATCGATCATAAGGAGCTCTAGGGGTGCTGATGTCCGGATGGCTTGAACAGGAGCCCGCTGTTCAGTACTCTTACTCAGCCCACAGGGCCGACACTTAAAACATTCCTCGGCCACCATGTCTGCCGAATCGGGACAGTACATGAGCCGTTGGAGCCACTTGAATGTTTTATCGCTCCCAAAATGGGCACCCCTCTCATGGGCCTCCCGGGCAGCCTCCGGTCCCAATGACATGGGGATGACAATCTGTCGCCGGTACTGCAACTCTGACTGCAAGTATATGGTCCGACACAGGAGGCACTGGGGTAACGGTTAGCTTATCCCACTGCATCAACAACTTTTGTCCCTCGGGAGTCAGACAAGCCCGCTCTTCTGACCGATGCCAGATCATGGTCTGGACCCATTCTTTCACTTTCCATAGGTCTGGGCAGCTATCCTGGACCCTCTCCCAATCAGCCAACGTCTTTCCCCAGTACCATTGGCATCCCGGACGCCACCCCACTTGAATGTGCCACGTCCTGGAACATGGGTAATCGACCAAGGTCAGGAGTTTCAGTGTCCTCTAGCTCCTCATCGGCACTCTGAGCCGACAACCCTACAGGGACTCGGGGAGTGCGTCAGTGTTGCCGTTCTCTACCTGACCGGAACTTGCGGTATTTGTACTTAGAAAGGCGAGCCAACCTGCTCTGCTCAAGCACAACCGAGTTTGGCATTTTCCAGATGTGCTAACGGGTTGTTGTCTGTCATCACGGTCACCTCTGCACCGGTCAGGTACTCGGTGAACTTTTCAGTTATGGCCCACACCAGTGCCAGTAGTTCCAATTTAAAGGAGCTGTAGTTGTCAGGGTTGCACTCTGACTCCCTCAGAGCCCGGCTGCCATAGGCAATGACTCTCTCACGTCCATCCTGGACTTGGGATAACACAGCCCCCAGACCCATGTAGACTTCCGTCAATGTACAGCAGGAATGGGGTGTCGAACCGCGCATAAGCCAGAATCTGGGCACTGATCAGCGGCCCCTTGTTGCCGGGGTCCACACTCGATGGGACGATTCTTTGGGCCCCCTGCAGTTCCCCCTTAATAACTCATTTAACGGGCCCACCAAATGAGCAAACTTGAGTATAAACCTCCTGTAGTAGCCGGCCAGTCCAATGAACGCCCGCACCTCTCATAAGTGTACTTGGCTGGGGCCACTTCTGGAAGGCCTCCACCTTGTCAGTGTTTTGGCTTTACCCCTCCTGGGTGACCAAATGTCCCAAATACTCTATCTGCTGTCGAAACAGTTGGCACTTCTTGGGCTTGATTTTGAGCCCATGGTCTCGCAGCCGTCTAAGACCTGTCGCAGTTTTCTGGAGGTGATCCTCAAAAGAGGCCCCAAACACTACTACGTCGTCCAGGTATATCAATACCAGAAATTCTGAAGGACCCTCTGCACACTGGTATATACCCTTTCAAGCAGACTATTCAATAAATAGGGATATTTAGTTCACACATATTGCAATACATGCTTAGCTGGCCAACTGTGTCAAAGTAATCCCACTATGGCCAGTCCTACTCTGCTCTGCCTACGCAAATGCTACTGTGGACACAATGTTTATTGCATAGTCTGCTTGAAAGGGTATATACCAGTGTGCAGAGGGTCCTTCAGAATTTCTAGTGTTTAATATGTGGTTATACCCCTTTAGCACCTGATGGATAAATGCATGCACTAGCTGTTGGGATTTGAGCACAGGGATCTCTTGTTTTTTTGGTATATCAATACCGACTCGAAAGTTGAGATCTCTCAGACAGTGCTCCATTAACCGCTGGCATGTTCCCGGGGCATTGGACAGGCCGAATGGCAAACCGGTTGAGCTCGTAGAGACCCATAGGTAGGATGAAGGCCGTCTTCGCTTTGTCCTTCTTGGCCACCGGTACCTGCCAATACCACTGGCCAGGTAAAGAGTCGAGAAGAACTTCACATGAC